TGAATTGCAATTTCCAACAATGAAACGCTTTTCATCTTAACCACAAAAATCTGGAATCGATTTCACTATTAAAATTTGTCATTCGGCCAATTTCAATTAAAAAATTCAGTGACAGTTAATTTGATTATTGTAACAACGGTTTGAAGGAAAAGGAAACAGATTATCCTTACCTTTGACTGGATGTTAATTATTCAAACTGACCGTTCGTAACTGCTTTAAGTACTTACTTAGAAAATAGGGAAGATACATTTTCTGATTTGATATTTATTTTGTTCATTGAATTTAAATTAATTACATTCTGAATTATTAAATTCCCGCTATCCCTTTAACAATTCACGCCTTTTACAGTAATTAACAAATACCGATGCGTTAGCAAATGAGGAATGATTGATAACATTTTTAATACTTATCATAATTTATTACCTTACAAAATGTCAAAAATTTGATTTTGAAAGGCATTTATGCGGAAAAACAGCACCAAAACTTTTTCATTATACTCTTGTACATAAGGAATTTGATCCACACTTCGATCTCGGCTTAAAAACGAAATCACGTAGGTACCGTGGAGACTATGATAGCGCAAGCACTTGTACTATGAGTATCGCTTCTTTTGCTGCGCACATAAAGGCCTTGGTCTAGAAAAAGTTGTATTTACAAACATGGTCTTGTTCGTACCATAAATGACCTCAAAAACGTGGTTCTCGTCGTGCGCACGCGCTGGGCCTGTAGCAAAATTTATTCAAAAGTTGCCGTCGAATCACGGAATTGTGCCACTTTTTACGTGATTTCTCTACATTAAAAAACGATGTGATTTATCCGGCGGCGTAAATTAATTTTCAATTACATCTGATGATTGATAACATTCATGCATTTGCATTCTACACAATATAGCAACTGTTTTATGAATTTTAGAATTGGTTCTCTAGCTACTTACACATCATCCTAATTTTTTGTATATTTTTTCAGTAAAAAACAATCGCGAAGCTTTAGAAATTTTCTAACTAAAATATAGGCTTACCCAACTTTTTTCGTTGTAACTTGAAATACTTCGTGCGAATTAGATCTTCATATGACATACAAAATTGCACCAAAAATTATAATATACACTAAGATCTCATAGAGTCTTGATAACATTGTTATAATCGTTCTAGTTTATCCATTTGCTCAACTCTTTTAATTATCAACTGAGTCGCTCTTTATTACATTTGTTTTACAATTTGCATCAACGCTGTGAGAAATCTAAGAGGTATGAAATGTTTTAATTGCGCCTGCTTGTACTGGACTTGGTTGGGCACTTAGCGCTACTCTTTATAAAATTAAATTTCGTTTTAACGGACGTTTATTTTAAAGTCTGCAACGTATTATATTATCTTGCGCTTCCATGTACATTACTCATTTGAAAATTAAGATAATTTTATAATCATTATTTTCGTCATTAATATTTATATCTTCATTCCTTTTGCTTTCAAGTAAGCACCAAATCTTGGAATTACAAATATGTGTATCTCTATAATTATTAATTAGTCATTGTTATGAGTATAAACAAATAACAGTTGTATAACAGATTGGGTGCCCGACTTATTTATTTATTTATCATATTTCAGTGGATCACGTATAGAAAGTAAAGTATGCATGTTTGTTTTTGATAGATATTTACTAACAAAGCGTCATGCATGCAATTGAATGGAATGAATTACTGTGTTGTCGTCCGTCGACTGCTGGCGACGTTCAGTGCTTTTGTGATACGATTACAGTGGACTAAGGTGTATTATTATTGGTAGTTTTGTGTATTCAAAATGTGCTTCCAGTTTTAGTGGATACCGAACTGGACAACATAAAGTGAAAAAAATCTCATTTCTAAATTTTATAATTGGAAATATGTATAAACCTACATTTGATTGTAAGCTAGCACTTACCTATGGGGTTTGTGTCTGTAATAGGGTGTTCCTTTTAATCGTGCGTTAGCCAGTTCTCGATTCTCGTCTATCCGTAATGGGTTGTTTCCATCGTTTTGAAATGTGAGCAGTCTCGTTCTCGTTTTGATGCAGTTGATGTAGGATTTGGAAGGCGAGACGCTCGCGGCTCGGGCGCGAGTGACGCGGTGGGCGCGCACCAGTCTACCCGATGAGCCGTAGCGCGGCGGTCCTGCCGCCAGCCGCCACGCTCGAACCTTCACTCCGTTCATGTGCTCCTAGTACTTTATCGGTGTCATTCACTATACAGTTTACATAAAAAAACTTGTCCATGTGATGCTATTTCGTCTTTTTCAAACTTTTCAGTGCTCACTGTTGTTAACACAACCATTGCAGTGTCAGTGAATCCTACTTTGACAACTTACTCCACGTTTGGTGATAAACAATAGTTGAATCGTACCCGATATTTGGATCTTGAGTGTATAGCACCAAGCGCTTGTCCTGATGAAGCGATCTACGTGGGTGGATGTGGAGACGGGCGGCCGGCTCGGCTGCAACGGCGAAATTTTCTGGAGCGAATGCGCCGAGTGCGATTGCTCTTACTGCAACCCGAACTACGTTTGCGTTTGTAGCGATAAGGTACCTAAATTAAAATTCCATTTTTCACATAAATTATCATAAATTAATTATAACGGCATATCCTTACAAAACATTACCACCACCGTCATTCTCATATAATGCCGAACAAAACGTTAAGATAACGTGATACACTTTTAATCTGCTATCTTTTCCGTGAATTGAATTTATGACGTGCCTAAGTAGATATAAACCTCACAACCGTCGTATGAAATAGAAAAGAAAATTATTATCTCATTAACTAGACGATAACGGTTCACGTTTTTTTTTCTATTTAATAATTTATTAATTTCACATAGAATGCCAGCAGCAAATGTTCTTAAAGAGACTTCCAATAATAAATAAACACTTGCAAAGATGTATCTTGGATGTTTTTACATACTCTCTCTGTTCCAAATCAACAAATAATGCAAATAGTACCCATTCATTTACATTCTACAGGTGAATCAAATTACTATCATTCTTTGCGTACACATACTTACAAATCAATAAAAGTGTGGTAATTGTTGTTTTTTTCTATTATACTTACAATAGGGCATTGAGATATTGTTTGCGAATGAATATTGTTTAGAAAATTAATGCGTACACGCTTGCAGCATCATGCGGACGTTTCAAATTTGAAATTCTTAACTCCAATATCCGATCGTCGGTTTAGCTGTGGTTTTCGTTTAAAGCAGGATCATTATGCTTGGGTTTTTTTACATTCGATTCAGTAAGAATTTCAGTATTCAGTAAGTATTTTTAGGATTACCTAGTCCTGACAAGGAACCCTTATAGTTTTCGTTGCACTAGAGAGCTGTAATTTTGTGGAGATATGTATATCGATCACGTCTACAAATGGGTAGGATAAAATTTTGAAAAATATATATTTTTAGGGTAGCTCACTTACATGTAACATGGGGATGAATTCTTTTTCATCATCTACCCAATCGTGTGGGATATAGTTGAATAGGCTCTTTAAAATTACTTAGTTCCTAAGACTATTTTTCGATCGAGGGATCTGTTTGCGAAATATTGAACTTTAAAGTGATAATTTTTGTACGAGTAGGGCGTACTAGGTACAAAAAAATGTATGATAGTGCTTTTCATGAACTTTTAAGGAAAACTATAACGGTTAAGATAGTTCGTTAGTTTAAGAGTAACAATCGTTCAACTTTGGTTTAAAAAAAATCCGTACATATGGAAAATTATCTAGAAGAAAACATTAATAGTGACATAGATGAAGCTATTGTAGCGTAAAACCTTGCATTGCAACAAAATCTAAAAAAATATTTAAAAACAATAAAATATCATTAGTTCCACAACGCTACCGCGAGTACCAATACCGGCGGCAACGGCTTCTAGTCGCGCTAACGTTACGTTTTTATAATAAGTATATAAGGACTTGAAACGCATCATCCCCTTCTCAGGGGATGATCGCTTCAGATGAAGCTTGTAAGGCACTTCAGGCCATGAGCATGAACTACGGGTTTGTTTTAATCAGCAAAAATCTGACATAACCTTGTAGCCGGCTGTAGGGCATCCATGAGGATTACACACCCGCTCCCCGCCTGGGAGGAAACAAAAAAAATGGCGGTTATCATTTTTATTAAAAAAATAAAATAAATACTGTATTGATTTTGAGTTTGACACTAATATATAGACATAGAAAATAAAGACACTTCCTCAAATACATTGTGGTAACTACAGGCAACTACGGAACAATACACTACGCGTGGCAAGACGCGCACTTGGCTGTTTTTTTTTAAATAATAGTCCCAAGTCCTAATTAATCTCGCAACCCCCCTCGCGTAAAGTAGTATGGAGTTCAATTTGCTAAGAGTTGATCAAAAGATACTTTTTGAAGTAGCCACAGCGCTGACCTTTTGTGTTACATAGAAAAAGTTACGTATAGTATAACACATACCATCATCCCACCTTAGGTAACTACTATCCAATGAAAAGTTGTACACATATAAACATGAGAGGAATCAGGAATTTCCAAGGTAAAGCGACATTATATATATATTATATTCTTTTAATGCCCTGTTCAATGCTTCTACTTGACATTTTTGTTTTTAGCTAAAAAGGAGATGTTCTATTTTGGTGCTTGAAAACCCCCACGATAAATTATAGTATGAAATAAACTCATTAAAACTTTGTTTTGGGAGGTGGCCAAATACCAGCTCTCCTTTGTCCTATTCCGCTGTCCTGCGGTACTTACGCGCTGTACAAACCCAATACCTTAAAACAGTGTTATTTTACTACTGCAAATTGGAGCATATTTCCCCTGGAGAGCTTTCCTATTGGTGAAACTACGCTATGCCCTCAAGCCCTACCTTGTCTTAATAATTTCTAGGAATACAACGTTTTAAGCTAGTTACAAGGTCGATATAGAATTGTAGCTCTGCAATATCATAAAACTGAAGATTTTACTGTTATGAGGTAATAAGTACGACTAATTATAAATGAAACACTTTAAACTTAGAAATTGTTTTCGTAGCTTTCTCTCCTTTTAAGGAGGTACATTTTAGGACTGCAGGTAGCCCTCTTGACTTAACAGTAGTCACTAGTCAGTATTTCAATAAATATTTATATGTTTACAAGTTTGGCTTTGGAATTCAATCCGATCGTAAATTGTTATTGTGGAAAATATAAGCACACTTCGTTTATTTCATGAAGCGTGGTGTGTTTTGCTTGTTTACGGCTATAATAATGAGTATTTATGTCACACAATGTAAATGAAGAAAGTAAAACTTTTTTTTCGTCTATTCAGGTACTTACACTTAAGTACTTTTTGTATGAAGTATGCGAGAACGTCGCCTGAGAAAAGCTTTGAAGAAAATTAGGTATTGGCACATTGTCTTTATTGTATGATTGTTGAAATTATTTAAACCTATAACAATAATGTATGGCCGAAGTTAGTAACAATTTCAATTCGATACTTTTTCTGAAATTTGGTTTCATATAATATTGTCAAAATCGCAAAAAAACCACAACTTGATTATCAAGAATGTTTAAATTTCGTTAAACTTTTGTACGTAAATATATCTCTTCTTCTTCAGCCTTATTTTTCAACCATCTTGGTTCCTTGGCCTTCCCCAACAATTTCCATTCACTGCGGCATTGTGCCCTTTATATCCAGTTCGAGCCAGCAACCTTTTTCACGTCATCTTTCCAGCGCATCTGTGGTCTTTCTTGCGGGCGATTTTTGTCCCACGGCTTCCATTCCAGAAGAAGTTGGCAACAAAAACTTTCGTTTCGAGCTACATGACCAGCCCACTTCCATTTGAGTTGAGCTGCGCTACTCGTTTCGTAACATCTGCAACTTTGCATTGTCAGCATTATTCTCGAAGCAATGTAAGTAGTTCTCGGAGTAAGCTCGGAGTAATTTAAATTAAAAAAATACTTAATGGAATTATTTGTATTATATATCATGGTATTTATAATTGTATAGTAAAGACCCTTCATCATCATCAGCCTATTAATGTCCCCACTGCTGGGACGCCTTCCCTATGAATAGAATAGGGAGATTGGACCCTTATTTTAATTTAACTTTAATTTAGTCTTTTGTATAAATTGCATGCTATTTATGGTAAAATATGTATACATGTCATCTTATTGTACCATATTTTTTGCAATAAATAAATCTAATCAATGTATTTGTTTTGCCGACAATTATGTCACCCCTACCAGTTTTCTCTGTAATTGCCCTCCGAGCCACTTCTAAGTCTGCTGATAATGTCTTTGGTGAATACCCAGGTTTTGGCGCCATGAGTTAGCACCGGTAGGATGCACTGGTTAAATATTCTGGCTTTTTATTCCACAGAGATTTTCATTTAGAAAGCAAAGTCTAGTTTTGAAATGGCTTCCCACATGAGTCTTATTCGTCTGTGGAGCTCTCTAACGTATGTAAATGTTTATTATGAAACTGCATACTTATTACAAAATAAATATCTGTATGGAATATATAAATTTAGGAAGTTAACTTCTCTTCAGTAGTACATAGCGCTTATCAAAAGCGAAAGTTTTCTGTAGTGTTGTGATTCTACCGCTGTAAAGTTAGTCACCTGATATGGCTAATAATATCCACGGCGAAAACATTCGAGAATAAGGATTAAACTGGCAGGATGTTTCGTTTTCTTATGAAAAGGCCACCCATTTGGGCCATGGGCAAACAAAAATATGGCCAGCCTGGTCGTAAGCGACCACCATAGCCTATGACGCTTTCGATAGAATATATATCACTAGCGCCATTGCCTACCCTGAGCTAATCCCCTTCACGCTTAGAGCCCTGGAACCTTACTCAATGACAGAAACACAACACCACTAAAAGGTAGTAACAGCACTAAAGTTATTCTATTGGGGTCTTCTGGAAGGTCAAGGATACTTTCCCCAGATTGCCGCTTCAATTCGAGCGGAAAATCCGCTATGCCCTACCTCTCCGAACGGACGTTTGGTGCGGCATGTATCTACCTCATCAGTAAATTTTGCTACTGTTTTCCTTTCTTAGTCTAACACCCCTTGAATACCTACATACACTCACAAACAACAACGAAAGGGGTACAGTGTTTTGCTAGGCTTTCTCTATCAACAATAATAACAACTTTATCAACGCCAAAAAAACTATGACAGATATTACTTTTTGCTACATCTCCATATTATGCACGGTTTAATGTTGCATAGCATAGCTACATTAGCTACGTAATATTATTTAAATAAAACTCATTTTTTAAGTTACTTAACTATTCGAGTGGGTGTTATTCAGTTTCGCAACCCTCTGTAGCGAAGGAACCTACTGTATGCGGAAGCATGTGTTTGAATTAATTACTCTACACTAGACCGCGGGAATCTGTGACCCAGTGATACCGATAGGTACAGATATACACTAGTAGGAAAAGAACTAGTAATACCGAAACAACATCTACTACAGTCCGGCGCAAAGACGAAGCCATTTGTTTGAATACAGCCAGAATTTCCGATAAATCACTTAGACGAATAAATTTGTCCAAGATATATCGTGATAGATAGCCATATTGCTCCAACTCACATAGTTTTTAATGGCGTAAAATAGGACACGGAAACGACGAAGTTCAAGATATTTACTTCGACCAAGACCATGTTGTGAATGTGTCTACCACTTCTTTTCATATCTACTAAGGTTGACATCACAAACAAATGAGATTATATTGGAGATCATTTGTGCATTTTGTTCTGATTTAAATTTGGTTTGGTTTCATAGCTCTTGAATACTTATATAATCATAAAATTGTCTAATATTATGACGATGATAAACTTCTTATCATCTATGTGTGCCTAAAATTAATAGCTACTGAACTATTGACAAAACTAAACTAGCATTAAAGGAGAAAGAGCTTCGTAATCCAAAATGAACAGTCAGATCAATAAAAATAAAAAAAATATCCGTAACCTAGAAACAGACTGAATCGCATTAAACTGCTAGATTAATAAATCCCAAAAAAAACTTTACCAAAAACCTAGTGGATCCTTTTCTCATAAAATTTCTTATTTTTGAGTTTTCGGATTTGCAAAATTGTATCTGAACTATCAGATAATCCGTTACTATCCGTCACTGTTACAAGCCTATTATTCATATACCCCTTTCCATAACCACGTCCGAAATATCATACCCATAAAACATCCCTTGGGGTAATAATTCAACGAAACAAAAACTTTATTAGGATGCAATAAAAGCGCTTGTTCTAATACGAATTTGTCAATGATGGATACGTTTTGCATTTGACTGTATTATGCAATTAATAGAATAATGAAATGAAAAATCTGGAAGATACGTTTATTCACATACAAAAGGAATTATAAATAAATGTTTCATAATCGCTATTTTAGAAAACATTTTAAAACAAGGTAGTTTTGTGAGTACTGAAAAACGACCATAACGGTCATATGATAATCATGTAAATGTTATATGAATTATACCTACTTTCCTAATGCTAATTAAAAGTGTCTTAATAAAGAACCAAAACATTTAAATAAAAAAGGTAACATTAAGTTTTTAACTGTTGAAACTAACGATTTTGAGACGATAGCAACTTAAAAGAAGAGTTTATCAAACCGGTACTTTCGGAGAAAGCTCAACAAAAATAAGCTTCACTGAATGTATACGATTTATTAAAAAGAAGAATTTAACCATGTTAATACTTTTTGTACAAAATTTGTCGTGACAAGAACACCTTGTATGTACTCGTAAGTGTTCATTCACAGCTTCAACGATGTCTGGCTTACGGTAAATCAATGCTCAGCTCTTTTAGAACTCTTTAAATTATCTTAAGCGAATTATAAAAGTTAGAGTAATATGCTTATACCATGACTTTTTTTTCATTTTCTTTAATAATAAGTAAAACACTTATTTCTACATACTCATAAAAAGATTCCTTATATTATTTTACTAATAATAAACAATTTGATTTATTAGCGAAAGCAAAAAAAGGTTTTGCATAAATTATAAATTTCATAACAATTATATAAAATGTCAATTGATAAAACTTGCAGTGTGCATAAATATGATGGATGTTGCTTAGACATTTTTGATGTCTATATTTAGTTGGCCGAATATACAACTCGGACGTATCGCTTAATATCTCATCACAGTAATTTTTAAATGACATGTAGACACAATAAATGCTGGCAGGAACTTCATTCCTACACCAATATATAATAAGTTGTGACGTAATGGACTTTATGTAGGTTGTAGGTATCATTGCAATGCCATAATATATATCATAGGTAAATCATGGATTTCGTAATATGTTTTCGAATTTTAGCCCTTTAAACTTAACTTTTGGGCCATAAGTCCATGGCGGCCACAGCTTAAGTGTTACATGACTTGTTCACTTAATTAAAGTAATTATCATAAAATTAATCATTGCTCGACTCATTACTTTGTTAACATAATTTATTGATTGTTTATTAAGTTATTCATAGTTAGAAAGCAAAGCAGTACACAAGTTAAGGATTTCATTTATTAAGGGATATTTTTATTTCACATTTTTCTCATTATTCCTACATTTAATTAAATTTATGTAAATGTGTTCATTTTATTTTAGATTTTCCCGGTGTTCTTTGTTTTTGTTGAGGACGGTAATGAATAAAACAAACAAAAAGGAAATTTCGCATTTCGTGACGTCAATTATGATTATTAATATTTATTATTTAAGCACGCTTCGAATGATGAAAAAATAATTTCCTTTTTAGTTTCATTCATTAATTAATAATTCTCTATTTACCACTCTAACTTCTGCAAATATTATGATATTATTATAAGGACCATGGTACCAGCTTAATTATGCATACACGTATCTACGTACACTTTATATCTACACTAATAATAGTAGTCTTGTAAGTAGTTGTTAGCAAACATTCCTGTAATGACGACAAATTGTAGGGTGATTAAGGGACTGTGATATTCAAACCATCTAATATACCACCGGGACATACGTATATCGTGAATGCACAATAAGCTAAACTACCGCAGTTCTTCTGCAATGCTTAACGTCTGAAGCAGTGAAATTATACGCTTCGTATTTCAGTGCCAAGGTATATTTACGCAGTGTTAAGGACACAGTATGATGATTTATGACAATAATTCAGTTTTTTACATGAAAAAAAATATAGTATCTAACAAAAATAGGTATTTTCTGTTCCAAAACTCGAATCATTAGTCATCTCGCGCATCGTTGGGGCCGCGGCGTGCGGGTAGTCTGTTGGGATATTAGCCCACTTCAGAAGTAGCCCATCTTCAGGATGGGGTGTTCTAAAACTTGTGTGAATATATTACTCAAATATTTATACAGAAGATCAGACTTGAAAGGTCCATAACCCCCAAAAATTTTATAGCGATTGAATAATGGTTCTTGTGTTCTCTTGTTGATCTATATAAGAATAATTTATTGGAATAAAATTCTAACTCAGAGAAACAATAGTAACTATCATGCTGCCAGCCTATTCTCTTAAAGAGGACGCGAGCTGAGAGGCATTCGAGAAATAGGTATTTAAAAAACTTTTGCTGTCGCGCATTCGCAACTATCCTGAACACTGAAAATTGGGTATAAAAATTGCAAAATTCGCGGTTTGCTTCTCGACGATTTCCTCCTCGAAAATTAGATATATGTATTAGAAATTTTTCCCATACAATATTAAATAGTTATACTAGGCCTCTGTGTTTTTTTTGTTAATGCGTATGGAATCACTATTCGAGACGTCTTTAGTGGTATTTTATTTGGGCATTTATGAGGGCTACTAGTTTCTTTGAAACACAAGTTATTAAGAAAAAGGAAGATTTGGGATTATTAAATGATTAAAATTATAATTTATGTATGAAATCATTTCTTACTACCTGATAGAATAGACATAAAAAAAAGCTATCAGCATCTCAATTCCTTTTCAGCATCAAATAACAGACCTTCGCCGAGTAGTTCGTGTGTCGGG